AAACAAAGTCCCTTGTAACATAAGACTTCATTTTCTAAACCTCCTATTTGTCTTTTCATCCATATTTTATATTGTAAGATCATCTTTAATTGTGACTTTTATTAAAAAAATGGGTTATTGCCATAAAACCATTATATTTATATAAAATGTATGGTTATGTCCTAAGTCCGAATTTATGTCCATTGATGCCTTATATTTTGATAATTTTTGTCATTTAGGCTTTTTATCAGGTGACATGTGGGTAGTCGGTCACCTGGTCATCTTTTTAACACAAAGCAGCCACCATCACATGTAGGTAGCCGATCACCACCACCGACGCCACTGTCAAGAGCCGTCTCTTACATCATTTCTAACGGTCACCATCAGAGATACCATCTTCAACACCTTTTCTACCTTCACCGCCATGCCCTCGGACGAAACCCTAGTCTCCTCCATCTGAAGAACTTTGGCGTTGAAGGAATCTCTGAATAGTTCGAGTATTTATCGATTTTATGGTTTATGTTCGTATTTCTTTCTCCCTCACGTATGTATGTAATAACAGTAGAGCACACACCCTTTTCATATTATTCGTTTCGCATCCTTCCTTTTCATTTTCGGATTTGAATCGTATCACACCCTCTTCGATTCAGATTGCAGGGGTTGTACTGATGGCGGTAAATCTTTGTATGTGTGAATAGGTCAATGAAAAATGTTGGTTTTGTGGTAGCTGGAATGTCGCTTATTGAAGGGTTTATGGAGGTGGTTGAACGATGGTTGTAATGGAGATTAATGGTGGTGTTAAGGTGTTGTGTAGTAGCTTCTGGTATTAGGTTGTGGTTTTTAAGAGGGTGTTGGAGGGTGGCGGATGTAGAGATGTTGGTGGTAGTTTCCGGGTGGTAAAGGTTAGGATGTAATGGTGTGGTTGTGGCGAAGCGTTGTTGTTGTGAATGAAATACGACGATTGCTGATTACAGAGGTCGTAAAGGGTTGTTATGATGGAGAGATAAGGGTGACATTGGGTGATGGTGGTGGTGGTGCTTTGTGTAGATTTCCCTACGGTGGTCGATATGATGGGCAAATAATGATGTTTTGATTTCAAGATATGGTGGGTGGTGGTGAATGATAGTGGTGGTGGTGGTGGTGGAGGCAGTGATTACGGTGACAGGTGGTGGTGATGGTGATGGTTGTGGTGGTTGATGGTGGTAGCGACGGTAATTGTGGTAGTGAATGGTGGTGTTGGTGGTAGAAGTTAGTGGTAGTATGTCACACCCCCAAAACCAGAACGGCGGAAACGTTCGGGAGCGGAGGACGTCATGTCAAGTATCACAACACATGCATTATAGTAATTAAAGTACAAACAACCATTGCATTAATAAGTATAAGTTTTACATAAGTGTTTAAACATTACATATTCAAACATCAGAGTAGATATGGTAAAAGACAAAAGACGCAGCACGGTACTAGGTTGTCTTATCAAAAGCTCCAGGAGTGTACCTGTCTACTAGATTCCTGAGAATACAAGTTATTTTGAAAGAGTAGATCAGCATTTAAGCTGGTG